ACGGCCTTGGGGGCTGATTTTGCCCGATGGGAGCGCGCAGCCTCAAGTGGCCCCCGGCCTTGAGGGGCTGGGAAAAAGAAAAGAGGAGCCTTGGACCCGGGGCCAAAATTTTTCTCCGTGTTCCCCCCTGGCTCTTGACGAAAAGTGCGCCTTCTAACCCCATCCGGAAGACTGCGCTCTCTGTGGCGGACCCAGAACGGACTACACCGACAGCGGAGAAAGCGGTTGCACCCGCAGAGAGACCCGTTGCGGAGGCATCCGCGAAGGCCTTGCCCTCTTACGGATCACCGCCCCTGGCGGTTGCCCCGCCGCGCGACGCCGTTGCGCCAGCTCTGGTTCCAGCGACACCCGCTCGAACGGCGCCGACTCCACCAGCGCCAGCTCCACCGGCGCCAGCTCCACCGGCGCCAGCTCCACCGGCGCCAGCTCCACCGGCGCCAGCACGGAACGGGCCGGCGGGCATACGCCCCCTGAAGCTGACCCTCCCTTGCGGGGGCGCGGGGGCGGCGCGGTCACCGCCCGTGGAGGCGCCGCCCCCGCGCACGCCCCGCCTCCTCATCCGGCGCTCGCGTTCGGGCGGCGCGCAGTACCGCAGCTTCCTCTTCGGGGAGGAGGCCCGCTGGCAGCCCGTCGTCATGCTGCGGCGCAGCTCCGTGCTCGACCAGGTGAGCGCGGTCTTCGACTCTGACTCTACAGCTTGGTCAAATTTAGCCGCAGACGGGCGGGGAATTCGCGCGACGTGTTTTCCGTCGTTTCTCCAAACAACACCAGGCGAATATCGCGGTAGTACCTCAAACGTGCACCTTCCTCTTCCCCTTAAACACACAGAGACACGTTTATATTTACACCAACATGCACTGCAGTACCTCACATATTGTGATGTTAGAGCTTGTCCCTGTCGGGTCAATGCCCCGCGGGGAAATACTTAGAGAGGGAACACCCATCAGCCAAACTGTGGATGTCTGGGATCTGGGGTGATGTACTATAGTTCTTTGCTATTGTTTTGTCAGTCTTTACTTTGCAGTTGTGTTTGACGTTCTTGTTGTTGTTGTCATTTAAGACATGCGAACATGAGTTGCATGTGATAATATTTCAAAACTTGCAAATGCTTGAAATATAGTTGTCTACACTTTGAAGGGAGTGGTAAATATCATTGAGCAGTAAACACTTGTGTCATTCGCATATTATTAGGGGAGATATTTCAAGAGCAAATACTGACAGGTGTGTATCCACCTAGAATTATATTAGATCCGGGACATTTCCTTAACCCACCTTACAGAATATTTCAAATCAAAGGCCAAATGTCATCAAAGCTCAAGATTTAAATCAAATTTCAATCAGAGCTCAAATATGCTCAAATCAAAGAATATTTTTATATAAGTGTTTTGAATGTTTTACGTTGTGTGATTTAGAGTCTTTAAAATATTTTCTTATAATATTCTTTTGGTTTTATTGTCGTCTTTTGTTCAAATTGTGTTCGTTCTGTTCCTTCAAATTTTGAATGGTTGTTTTTATTGTACAAATTATCTTTGTTACACTAATTATATTCGCAGTTGAAGGATTTCTTCATAATTTTATTATGATAACTTTCAAAATTTCTCTTAGCATTTGCGCTTGTTGTTTTCTTTTTCATAATCTGCGAAATTATATATTCTTCGTCATAAATATTTCTTAATGTCCCTTGGGGGGTAATTCCCTATCTAGCATTAACACACCTGAAGTGGTTTGTGTCTATGATGCCTTATAAATCGTACGATGTTTTTGTTGTTCCTTGGATGGCGTTCCTTGGTAGAGGGATAAACAAATATTGTAAATATGTCTGCCGTCTGAATTGAATCAAACACATTTGTATTATTCCACTTTCTTATATTTTGAGATGCTGCTTTTAGTTTTGTTCATGTCTTCGTTTCAGTAATAGTAAATAATACAATATACTTAGTAATTAATACAATTCAGAACATGTAACATAACTTATTAAAATAAATTTTGTAATCTGTTGTTCAGGCGGCAAAATAGTCGAAGAAACGTTGGGAGAGCATTTTAATAGACACATCACCTCTTCTATCAGTAGTTTTTGTCAGACAAGAGTGTTCTGGAAAAGAGACGACACACAATGGACAAAGATTGTTACTTGGAGAAAGAATTAACGAGTATTGAAGAAGTTGTCACAGTTACCTCTGTCCAAACGAAATTAAACCTTTCCTTACGAATTCCGTGGCTTTTTGCTTCGTGTTTCTACTACATCCAGTGCCTGGCACACCCTGGATCGAACCTTGAAGACGTTCAAAACGCTTTTACTCAGCTTTCGGCATTAGCTTGTGGTGACAATGCGAGCATGCGCCATATCTCGAAAATAGGTGATTCCAAGTATCGCGACAAAACCGATTTCACGCGGGCTGCCCAGGAGCTCCGAACTAATAGAAAGCTGTTGACAATCAATTTCAAGGAACTTTGTACGAAGAAATGAATGTCTGATCAACAGAGAAGAAATTTGCGCGCTTTTTGGGGAAAATTAAGTCAATTAAATTAATTAATATTAATTAATTTAATTTTCTTAATCTCGGAGGCGCGAAGTTTAAAATGTATAATCCTTTCCTCTAAAACACCTTCAAAGAACTTCAAACGTTCTGTTAAAAAAAACAAGGCGCCAAATTTGAAGTAATTTGGCCGGCACTGTCAACATCTGTTAAGAAACTAGTAATGCTTCAGTTTCATTTTAAGATTTTTAAATCTTGAGGTACGAGCAAAAGTTGCTCGGATTTTCGGAAAGGAAAAACGATACAGGTGACTTGACCCAAAGTGTTGGTGATCATCCCAGAATGAGCTGATCATGCCAAAGGTAGCCTCGAGGTTTCATTTCTGAGAAAAGCGATGTGAAGACATTAAAACAAGAATTTTAATTTAGTAGGTGAACATTCTATGGTTTTCTATGATTTAAAACGATGTATAACGTTTATCGGTATGTTCAAACGTGCATAGAATTCAGGGATTTAGTTTGTGATTGATGAGACATTTTATGAACTCTGGATTGGAGTATTGAATTGAGCAGTCGATGGATGGAATTGAAATCATTCCACGAGTCTGTCGCGAGATTTTTTGTTCGCGTCTTCCGCGAGTCTCGTGATTGGTTGTTTGCAGGTGGCGCGGAAGTTGGCGATGCGTCCGCACGCCATCCGCCTGCGCATCGCCACTGAGGACTCGATGCGCCAGCTGAAGGAAGAGAAGCTCCAGCAACAGCAAGAGCAGCAGAAGCAGCAGGACCAAGTGCGAGAGGACGCGCATCCCGTGCCCGATCGTGTGCCAGCGACGCTACCCACCGCCTCTGCTACGCCCACCCCTGTGTCCGCCGCCGCCCCTGCCAGCGATGCCGTCGGGGCGCCCGCTTCCGCCCCCGTCGTAGCCCCCGAAGTGCCCAGTTCCACCCCTGCGCCGCGCTCTTCCAAAGAGAAGCTCATCGCCCATGCCAAAGACATTCCCAGAGACACCAAAGACCCCAGAGCGAGCAGAGAGCCGTCCGCGTCGTCGTCGTCATCGAAAAAGCGGCTCAGCGCGGAAGTGGCGGAAGGCGCGTCAGCGTTATCGTCGTCCAGCTGCTCGTCGGTGACGCCGTCCCCGGCGGCGGTGGGGGCGGCTGGGGTGGCGCGCGGCCGCAAGCGGCCTCCGTCGGACAGCGACCCCGAGTCGCCGTCATCGTCTTCGTCGAAGGCGACGGCAGCAGCGGCGGCTGCGCCCAAGCGGCGGTGCTCGGAGCCGGCCAGGGCGCCGGTGCAGCTGTGCTCGCCGCCGCAGGCCAAGGCGGGGGCTTCCAAGTCGGCGACGACGTCCCCGGCGGCGCGGAAGGAGGAGGAGGAGGAGGAGGGGGCGGGGGCGGACGCCACGTGGGAGCGCGCGTGCGCCGCCTGCGGACGCCCCTTCGCGACGCCGGCGGAGCGGGCGACCCACGTGCGTCAGCACCGTTACCACTGTCAGCGCTGCGACCTGGCCTTCCGTTCGCAGGTGAGCCCGCCCACGGCCAGCACCTTGCGACCGACTTCCTTTCCCTCCTTTGTGCATTCGAGAAGGGCAGATACAACCTGCGTGCGGCATTTGGCGGCGTTTGTTTTCCACTTTCATGGCATTATGTGCAAGTAACGGTTCATATAATAGGAGATTTTATTAACGTTTACAGAAGTAGGGAAAAAATGGCGTGGTACGTGCCACGCTTTATCCGCGTATTTGAAGAATATTTACTGTAACTAGAGCATGTAAATATCGACTCATTTGCGAAGGAGCCTCTGCGCATCTCAGGATCTCTCTGAATGAGACTAAAGATTTGATGATACCTTTTCCGTCAGAGCTACTTTCTCCAATCCCCTTTCCTGGCAGCCACCTATCGGCGCCCGAGGAGCGTGAGTCTACCGTGGACTCTACCGCTTCCCTTGAACTCTGCCCTGTGAGCGCCCCCACGTGCTGCCGGAACGTAACGCCAAGGGGGGTGTTTGTTGGCCCAACTTACAGCTCCCCTTACACGTAAACGCACTTCACTACGACGCATGTTGGGAGATCGGACGAGAGCTTAGGGCTTCTACCGGCTGGGGTGGATATATCTGGAAGGGGAAAAAACCTTAGATCAACTGTTGGTCAGCACCGAATCTCATGTTCTAGTTAGCGTGGGAACTCCCACCTCAAGTGTATGACATGCAGCGCATCGCCCCAACCGGAAGCAGCATTAAGCTCCAGGCATGTGCGGTTGTGCAGTGCATGTAAGTGTGTGCGTGAGCAAAGAGAGAAGGGACAGGAATGAGGATGGAACGATCGCGCGCGGGCCGTGGCGTTTGCTTCAGCACTTTCCAGGAATTGATCTGAGAAACCATCGTGAAATGCCGACCAGAACAGCTGACCGAAAGAATTATTCTCGAACAGCGGTTGAATTTGACATAGCCTTGTAGCTTGTACAAGGGACCTTAAGGAATACGGTTCCAGGTCGAGTACTGACCTTGAAGACAGTGAATAGAACCTGAATAATCCAATATGAAGCTCCAGCGTCTGGTGGATTGTGAGAAAATTGTATTTCCTCGTCTCTACATAAAACTTGGTCACATCAATAAGTTGGATGAAAATAAAACAGCCTTTAAATATCTTTTTGCAAAATATCCCAGAATGAGTGCTGCGAATATCATAGGTGTTTCTGTTGGCCCATATATTCGCCAATTTGTACTTTCCCATATACGTACGTATGTATACACGGAGTAGTACAGAGAAAGTTATGTAATGCTGCAGAAAATCGATTTCGAGATTTCAACGGAAATACACGTTTTGGGGCCCTCTGTTACCGAAATATTTGTTCGTTTCAAAACATTTGTCTGTCCGTCAGTGAACACAACTTGCGCGTAAACCATACGTAAGATTTTTTTCTAAATTGAAGAAACTCCTGTATTTTTGTCTCGACTCTTAAGCTTTGAAATTTCGAAAAACATTCTTTAAAATTTGGGAGTACTTTATATGAAGCCCTCCGGACATTTTCAAAATTTTCTCAAAAGCGCCTCCAAAATTTTCTTTAAATTGATTGTAAGAAAAGAGTAACATCCACTTATAATACAGGCAGAGCTCCGATTTTCTGAATTTTCGAAAATTTCAAAAGTGAATTTTTCCGGTGCCTTCGTACAACTACAAAGATAAATATATAGATTTTTCCTTCAAATGGAATTTGTTATTCATGATATGTTTTTTTTATTAAGGTCATGTACATTTTTTGATAATTGTAGTAGTTTTTGCGCAATATAGAGATAATTGCAATAATATTTGCAATTTAAAAAAAATAACAACATAGAATCTCAAAAACGGCTGCAAATTTTTTCTTTTCACTTTTGGTGGGGATAGTAGTAAATTCACTCAGTAACATGAAATAAACGCCATATTACTCTATTCTTTTGGTTTTTCAAAAATTACAAAAATGTAATTTTTTGACTTGTTTCTCACGTCAATATTTACATTAGCGGCAATGTGTACTTTAAATAATGTCATATAATGATTCTCGAAAACCCAACCGTTTTGTGTGAAACCTAGCTCAAATTTAGGCATTTTCAGAAACTCAAACACCGTTTTCTCAAAAAAGGCTCCAATTCTTTTTTCAAACTTTTGGAACGGATAGTCCGAACTGCACTCTTTAATGTGACGTATAGTTCATTTGGAGGCATTTTTTGTTGTTTTCGAAATTACACTAATGTAATTTTTATGAATGCTCTCTCGCCGTTAATATGCACATGGGAAACGAAAGGACAGACGATTACCAGTAACTTGTAACGCCGTTACTGCCGTCTTACCATAAAATGTCTCAAATTTCTCTTTTTAAATTCTCGCCTTAACGTTTTCTAAAATCCAGCCTCAACAAAATTCCTCACTATTTACTTTAGTTTGTTGCACTCACGGATGGAGTGTATCCAGCACTAGAAAATTTGCGTGTTTTTGTGTCAGTGATGTAAACGATACAAATCTGTCATGTTTCCTTGACGTATTATACTAGTACATGGAGAAGATTACAAAACCTCACTGAGTATAGAAGTAGCTTGGTTAGCATGATCAGTAGTACTTGCCTTATGGGGTGCATTGCTCACTGCTCACAAACTATATTATTATCTTCTGGAACCCTTCTTTGCTATCTTCACATTAGTTATTAATATTAAGTCAAAAGGAAATTGAAAGCATGATTTTAATAGCATTAAGCATCTCATTTGGGTCTCGGCTTCAGGGTTGAACCGCTCTTGATAAATAAGTATATATATATAAACAACCTCTCATTCTTTTTCTGCGAAAGCTCACTATTCTAAAATATTTTACAAAAATTGAATTACTCATTTAATTTTTAATATAATCATTTAAGTGTAATAAATCGAATAAAATTGAGTGAGGAACATTGTCTTGCTGATCGTGTTAAAATATTTTGGGAAATCGTGAGGATAGGTCATTAAAAAGGCGTTTTTTAACAGTGCCAAGTTTCGGCCATTTATTAGGCCTGCTTCAGGACTATAAAATACACAATAAACTACAAATACAAAGTAATAAGTAACAGAATTAACAGAAATAACATTTAAAATCGTAGAGAAGATAAACAAGAGGAACTAATGGAGGCCCAAAACACTTCAAATTTATGCATTTTTCGGATATTCAGAGCTATCAGAGAAAATCGGACGTATGTCGTCTTTATGTGTATTTTACTCTATTCTTACAAGAAATTTCTAGAAAAATTTGGAGCAATTTTTGAAAAAATATTTAAAATGACCCTGCTGCTTGAACTACGAGTAAAGCACTCCCAACATAGTCTTGTTCGCTGGCGGACAGATAGAAACGTTTTGAAAAAAGAAACAAATACAAAATAAAACATTTTACGGTACCAGAGGATCTCTAAATGTGTATTTCCGTTCAAATCTCGAAATCGCTTACCTGCAGCATTTTATAACTTTTTCTATACTTTATATTACTTCGTATACGTATACGAGAAAATAAAAAAAAAAGTGTTTCACATTCTTTGAAATCAGTCTCCATCAAGGGGGTGGCTGCGTGGTGATTATGCCTGGCTGACGCTTATACTGGCGATAATCGTAGTGACAAACCGAACAATTACAGCTATTATTTTCGAAAAGCTCGGAGGCGGTTGACCCAATTGCGCAAAACAAGATATGCAAACTGAGGCCTTGCTGCGGACGGAGAGGCTTGTGCATGAACGTCCTAGGTGGGGTTTGGCCACTAACAAAAAATATATATTTTGCTGAAGAAGTAAGTGCAAGAAGGTGAACTTGCACCGGTCGCCTTGAAGGGCTCCGGGGATTATTCATATTATTTCTCAGGAAGAAGACTGCATTTGTTTGATCTTGCGAATGATATCATCTAATTTTTGCGTTCTATTGAGAAATAACAGAGAACGTCGTTTTCGCAGTTAGATTGTGAGAGAACTCTGCGGATCGTCTGCAGAATTGCATACATCTTGATTGTAATTGATAAAATTGTATTTCCAGTTTGGGAGTTTTCATTCTTAATTGCAGTTGGTTAATCCGACCGACTAAATATTATATTTTCCCCGGAAATTTATGAAATACTAAATCACGATTGTTCGCAGAATTTTTCGTTTGTTTCTCGGTAGCATTATTGGTGTCAAAATTGTTCACTGCAAATGTTACGAACTCGTACCCCTACGTTGCTTACCGACTAACGTGGACTGAAGTAGGTTATTTTGCAGCTTTAATATTAAATTTCGTAGGAATAAAAAAAATTGGATATTTCGAAATTCAGACCCCTTCTTGAAACGTACTATTAATATTTTTTATAAATTGAACACTTTCAGTCAGTAAATTTCTGTTGGACAGTTTGCATGACTTCTTGTAAATAGCGTGTTACTGAAGTTATTGCTTTGAATAAATTAATAAGACGTTTGCAGAAGTAAGTTGATTACATTTTTGATGGAAAAAAGTCTTGTAATTTAAACATTGCCAAATTATTTATGTTCGGAAAAATTGTGCGTTAACTTTTTGAATGCTTGACTATTATAGATATTAAAACATCCATGTAAATGATTTAACTCGACATGACGGAAATCTCGCGGTGACGAGAGAAAGGACGTTCAACTCTTGTCACACCCACATGAGCGGTGTGAATTGGAAGTTGTTTGGCGCGAGGGATATGATAAACTCAGCCGCAAGAGCTAATGAAAGGCAACGGAGGGAAGAAAAAAGCTTAACCATAACGGTGGTTGAAGTGGCCGAGCGTCTTCAGCATCTAAAGTAATGTTATTCATTCACACTGGTACCTACATCTATCCTTGTGGCGTGAGCATGTAATTGTGGCTTATTCCTGTACAGAGCTGACGGAATTGCTTTGGTCATATAATGAATTTTGACAGGTGGGCCCTCTTACTTTTTCGTAGCAATAATGTGTTAGTGTCTGTTATAAAAATATGCACTTTTTCATTTTTGTGAATAATGTGGGAAATAACCCAATTCCGCTTGAGTGCTCGTGTTTACGCA